CAAAAGCATCTGTGCCCGTGTCGATGCGCTCTGGCGCAAGAAAGCGCTGATGGCCATTTTAGCCATATGGGTTTCTTGCTCAAGAGGCCAGTGTAGACAAGCAACATGAATTTCTTGCACAAGAGTTGCGTGGCAATCGGGGCTTTTTTTGCACAAAAGCACATCTAGATTGGTCACGGATGCTTTTCTGCAAAAAGAGCTTTTGCGGGAAAGCGTCTGTGCCAATCTAGACGCTCTTTTCTGAAAATGCTTTAACGGAAAACTTTTCCGTTAAAAGCATTTCCGGAAAATCATGCCAGTCTAGACGTAGCCCTTCTGTATGGCTACGTCTACAGTGGCAAGATTTTGCACAACTACTTTTAACAAGAGTTTTTGCGTTAAAGTTGTCGTGCAAGAGAGTGTCTACACTGGCATGTGCTTTTGCGCAAAAGCATCTGTGCCCGTGTCGATGCGCTCTGGCGCAAGAAAGCGCTGATGGCCATTTTAGCCATATGGGTTTCTTGCTCAAGAGGCCAGTGTAGACAAGCAACATGAATTTCTTGCACAAGAGTTGCGCAAGAGGGCTTCCTCCTGAGCGGGAGCATTATAGTTCTTGTGCAAGAAGCACTGATTTCACACATTAGAACGTCAGTGTTCTTGCACAAGAACTCCCCACCAGTGTAGACAGGCAGCATGTTTTTGCGCAAAATCATGCCAATGTAGACACAGCCTATGCATGAAACTGATTCTGCCTTCCTAAGTGGAGCACTTTGCATTTGTCCTTATTTAAAATTCATCCTATTTACCTCAGATCATTTTGAATTATGACCCTATCCTCCAGAGCAGTCGCAACCCCGCCCAGCTTGCTATCAGCTGCAAACTTACTAAGAGTCCTTTCTATGCCAATATCTAAATCGCTGATGAAGCTATTGAACAGAACCAGTCCCAAAACAGACCCCATGCGGAATCCCTCCCTCCCACCCCCGTTATACCCTTCCAGCGTGATTATGAACCATTAATAACTACTCTTTGAGAGTGATTATATTTCCAGCTAATTCTGCCCCTTCTTAGCATAGTCCCACCTAAACTGTGTATTTATTGATAAGAAGGGCATGTGAAACCATATCAAATGCTTTACTGAAGTCTAGGTCCACCGCGTCTCCCTTATCCACACGCCTCATTATCCGATCAAAGCAAGCTAGCGGATTGGTTTAGGCCAAGCTGTGCTACAGGCCTACAGTGCCTGTCAGCTGGAGCTGGAATGACTGCCGCTGTCGGTGCTCAGCGATGCTGGGGCAGGCCCTGCTCTCAGGCCTGCCAAACCCGTTGTGTGTACAGCAGCAGGCGGTGCACATGGCCCAACCATTAGGTGGTGGGAGTTCCGTACTCTAGGGTGCGGTGCTGGGAAGGGGCGACTGCAGGCGCTGCAGGAATCGGACACATACATGACCAGCAGGGCAATCCCCAGCAGGTGCCAGTATCGCTGTGCAGGTGTCCTAAAGGGCCCAGGACCAAGTGCTAGGCTGGTGAAGCTAACTGGGGCATGTCCACTGGTTTGTAACTGCTCCTTTAAATCAGTTTCTCTACCACATGCCTGGGGGCTGGCTAATGGGTGGCCTCTAGTGGTGACCCTGGCTGAGAGGCTGTTAAGTCCAACGTCAGTACCAGGCAAATTGGGTGAAACTAGTGACCTGTCAGCCACACGGATTACCATACCCTGTTGGGGGGAGTCACCATGGGTTCTGTAACGGGAACTCCTGCCTCACTAATCTGCTAGCGTTCTTTGGGGGGGCGGGGGGCAAACATGTGGACAAGGGGGAGCCAGTGGATCTCCTGTACTTGGAGTTCCAGAAAGCCTTTGCCACGGTCCCTCACCAAGGGCTCTTAGTGAAGTAAGTAGCTAGAGGGACAGTCCTTTCATGGAGTGATAACAGGGTAAAAGACGGGAAACGGAGCAGCGCTAAATGGTCGGTTTTCAGAATGGAGAGAGGTAATTAGTAGTATCCTGCAAGGCTCCGTATTTTGACCACTCCTAGTATATATAAATTAGCCTGTCATAAGACAGGATTTTCAAGTCTCTCCTCCCCATCAGTCTTCTCTCCTGAGTTTCCGGTCTCTCTCTTCTTCTGCTGCCTCCCCCTCTTGCTCTCCTCTGCCTCCTGCCTCTCGCTCTGTCTCTTCTCCTCCCCCTCCTGCCTCTTACTCTGGGGCCCACAGAGCCCAAACTGTCGCTTGCGCCACGTACTCCCATGCAGCAGCCCAGCTGAGCAGCACAGAAGTCAGCTGAGTGCCACGGGGGCGGGGCGGTAATGTTCACGGCCAGGGGGTGGGGCCTGGAGCCACTGTCACGCCACACATCACCGCCCCCCCCCTTCTGCCGTGGCACTTGGCTGACTTCTGCACTGCTCAGCCTGGCCACCACGAGGGAGCAAGCAACTGTTTGGGCCCTGTGCTCCCCATGCAGCACAGGAATAGCTTCCCCCATTATCATCCCTAATGCCATGACCTCACAGACACTAACCTTCCCCCCTCACCCCTCTGGTCTTAACTCTGATTCATCAGGTTTGTGCGTGTTCACCTTTTTTTGATTATAGCACTTTGGTCGTGCCAATTTCTTCCACATATTGATCTGAGGAAGTGGGTCTGGCCCACGAAAGCTCATCAGCTAATAAACCATCTTGTTAGTCTTTAAAGTGCTGCATAGTCCTGGCTCTTGTTTCAGCTACACCAGACTAACACGACTGTTCTCTATCACTAATAAAACTGGACCTTTTCAGCTCAGGAGAGAGATGACAGCGGTCTATAAAAGCATGGCAAGTATGGAAAGAGCGAGTAAAGAAGAGTTTACTCATTCCCATAACACATGAACTAGGGGGTCAGCACATTAAATGAACAGGAAGCATGTTTAAAACAAACCAAAGGCAGTATTTCTTCATACCATGCACAGTCAACCTGTGGAACTCCTTGCCAGAGGATGCTGCAAAGGGCAAGACTCCAGCGAGGTTCAAAATGAGCAAGATCCATTCCTGGAGGACCGGTCCATCAGCGGCTCTTCTCCAGGATGGATAGGAATGGTGGCTCTGGCCTTTGTCTGTCAGAGGCTGGGAATGGGCAACAGGGAGGGATCACTTGATTCCCTGGTCTGTCCATTCCCTCAGGGCAGCTGCCATTGGCTACTGGCAGGAGACAGGACACTGGGCTCAGGGAGCCCCTGAGGCAGCAGGGAATTGAACATGGCTCTGCCCCAGCCCCGTGTTGTGTTGGTGCTGTAGGGAATCAGCTCATTAAACAGTGGGTAGTTCCTGGGGCTCTGCCAGTCCCTGAGGAGCAGAAGGGGAGAAGGCAGCCATATGGGGGCAAGGGAAAGCGGGGGGGCAGGCATGGCCTCAGGGCAGATCCAAGGTTGCCCTTCCATTCAAAGGTTGGAGAGCCCTGCTCTAGAACACAGGCCTTGGGCTCCAGCCAGGGAACAGGCACTTGCCCTGCTGCATGCACGACATGACTGCTGGCAGCAGGGGCATCCAGGGGCCGTCGCATGCTGCCCTCACCCCAAGTGCTTGCCAGGAACCGCAGCCAAGGGGAGCAGCAGCTGCAGGGGGGAAGCACAGAGGCACCTGGCGCCGCCCCTGGAGGAGATGAATGGGGGGCACGCTGCAGTTTCCAGGAGCTGCTTGAGGTAAGTGCTGGCTGGATCCTGCACCCATGAACCCATCACCCACCCCCTGCCCCCAGCCTGAGGCCCCTGCACCCCAACCGCCCTTCCCCCAGCCTGGAGCACTCATTTCTGGCCTCGCTCACAGCCCACACCGCCAGCTGCAGCCCTCACCCCCTCCAATACCCCACTCCCCCAGTCTTGTGAGCACCCATGCCCCGATATCCAGAGATGTGGCTCTCAGGCCAAAAAGTCTGCTCAGCCGTGCACAGAGCTGAGCTCTTGGCTCCCGCTAGCAGCCAAGCGGTGGCAGCAGTGCGTGGTGCACGGCCGTGAGGCGTAGGCACAAGCAGAACACAGGGAGGTATTGCTTCTCCACCCCTCCCAGGAGCTGGGCTGGCCCCAGCACAAGCAGCGAGCCAGCCTGGCGCAGGGCAGGGGCAGGCTCCATAGGAGGAGAGAAGAAAAACATCTGGCCCAAGCCCTTCGGAGAGAAGGTAAATGACTGACAAGGGCACAGCATGGCCGCTGCTCCTGGGGGGCCTGTGCACCGCAACTCAGCATGTTTATTCATCAAGACACTGCGATACACTCGCACCAGCGGCTGTTCTCTGGCCGATCCCCTGCAGAACACCCGGCCTCGCCCAGCAGTAAAGAGCCCCGCCACCTCCCAATAGGCCCGGCGTCCCGCTGGCCTGCTTCTGCGGGGCTCCTCCCCAGGGCTGGTCCCAGGAGCCCCGGGAGTGAGAAGCAGCCACTGCCGGGCTGGGCCAGGTTCCTGCCTGCTGCCTCCTTCACCCCTTTCTAGGCCTGCACAATCAGTGGGGCGGGCTGGGGCCCAGACGCCTCCAGCCCATCTTTCATGGGCACCCAGGGGTCCCAGCAGCAAGGCCTGTTCCCAGGCAGAGGGCTGGTGCTGGCGGCCGTCAGCTGCACACAATCACCTGGTCTGAGGCAGGGAGCCCTGGGCGAGGTGCAGCTCCACATGCCTGGGAGCGGCGGGGCGGGGGCCAAAGCCCTGGCACTGCTTC